TTGACAAAATGACCTGAACTTTTGATACATTACTTCATTGGGAAAACTTGTTTCTTTAATTCCTTGAACAATCAAATTTCTTCCCCAGTCCTCTTATATGCTCTAATTCATATTCCTGCTGTCTGCACCCATAGAATCACAGAATCACAGAATTGTAGGGGTTGGAAGGGACCTCCGGAGATCATCGAGTCCAACCCCCCTGCCAAAGCAGGTTCCCTACAGCAGGTCGCACAGGTAAAAAGTAGAATGTGTTTAGTCTTTATGAAGGTGGGTTACTTCACACTTCATGGACTCCACTTTTCTTAACACTAGATGACCATCACAAAATAACACAAAGATTTAGAATCTAGGAAGAAGCTTAACCCACAGGTAAAGAAGAACAAATGTGAGTGAGCAGGTAAGGGACAGGAGAAACATCATGCTTGTTGCTAAAGGCTAGAGGAAAGGGACTGTTAAAGATGAGACAGAAAACTAAAAGAATAACCCAAAACCTTGCAATTGATGGCAATTCGTGTTTCTCCTGCCTAAAATCTTTACTGAACTGCCAGCTGCTGCAGACTTTTCTGGTAATGTTTCTGGGGCAAGATTCCCAAGCAAGCCACCCACTGGCATGTTATGCCAACACAGAGTGTCTGTGGAGTTCCACTGTCCTGCCCTGGCAGTGCTACACCTAACACACTCACCCGACTGCACACAGCAACAGGGAACTGAGAATCAGATGAACGCAGGTGGCTTGCAGGAATAACCTAGTTCTCATCCTGAAGAATACTTTAAATCCCTTCAATTCTAATTGACCAGGCCAGTTCCCTTCCAAAGTTGAGGCCACATTTTTATGTTGAGCATGGTTAGAGCCATTAATCTTGCTCTCATTTTCAATTTACTTCCACATAGAGAAACGGTAGTAACATAAAGGCAACAAGAGCACGGCAAAAAAACCAACAACCCAACAGTAAAAAAGTACAGTATGCTGCATTTACCTGTAATTGAACTTGTGCAAGTCTCTGATCTCAACAGTACGCAGTTTGAAATATTATAAAACCTAACAATGTTAGCAAAATTTCTATTTCCATTCACAGCATGTGAAATATTCCCTCTGCTCTGTAAATACATCAAATTTCACTTCGGTGCCTTACCACATTATCTGGCAGCTTGTATCCAGGGACATATTTTACATTTTCATGTTCATTATTTATTATATCTGTCAGTTTTCTCCCATTAATATTCTCCTCGAAGACCCACATCTTCACTGTGGAAGCAAACTTTTGCAATTTTTTTACATTATTGCCTATTATTTTGGCAACCGCAGAACCCCTGCAGGAAAGGAAACAAAACAAAAATATTTAAAAAAAAATTAAATAAGAAAGAAAAAAAATATATTGCCCAAGAAAAAGAGACTGTCTTTTAAACAAACAGATGCTCACGGGTTATTGGACCAATTACTACTCAGCATTTCTGACCCAGTAAAGCAAGTGGAAAATACACCAGTCATTCACACCTGCTGCTTTCTCTCAAACAAATGTGCCTAGAGTACAAAGGACAGAAGCATTTGTTTGCTTACTGGCTATGCAGTGGGAGTTTGGGTTACTGTATTTCCACAAATCAAATAGATTATATCTTCAATGCAGTGGTAAAAGTGGCATATTAAATTTTTTAAAACCAAATCAGTTTCACCTTTCAGAAATGGCAATTTTTCTTTGCTAAGATGATAATTCTTCAATTTCTGCAGAATACCAAATTGCATTTAAAGCCAAGAAGCATTTATATTTTGCATAATTTATAAGACTTATGCTCACCCTGCCTGTCTCAAAGAATTTAATTATTGCAACAGCATCTTCTGCATTTGCAGGCAGACAATTCTATCACTGATTTCCCCAAGAAAAAGCACACGATAAAACCTGTAGGATGATGAGCATCTTTACTGCTCAAATCTCTGTGCGACCATTAAATTAATCAGAACTACTGAGCTAACCACATGATGAGGAATAAACACAACCTTTTCTTCTACTCCTAGCCTGAATACTGTATGGAATTAAAAGATACGGTTTTATGAAGCCTGTTTCTCTAGCTTGCTCTCCTGAGACAAGAAGGCTTCATAATTACACATAACATACATGGGAGTGAAAAAATAAAAAATAAACTGGAAAGACGTGACAAAAATACAGAGTGACATGTTATCCCATATTTGTAGGGAGATGGTAAATGTGGATTGCCTTTGCTTGTATTACTCACTCAGACAGTGAATGCTTAATTACAGTTTAAGTATTTCCATGATACTGGCACTACCAAGTTCAAATACCTGTTCTAAAATACAACTGATGCTAGAAGTTCTGCTCTCTCAGGTGTCCCAGACTGGCCAAGCAGACTCAAGGAACTCAGACATCCACTGTAGAAGAACCTTCTTTATGGGAACTGCATACAGAGACCAGGTAACTTAGACCATGCCTCCCTTCCCCACTCCCCAATTTCTGTTTTTTTGGGTGTTGTTTTTTTCTTGTTTTCTTTCGTTTTCTAGGCTGGGAAAAGAATTGAGCAAAGAATGTCTTATGACTGTTGACCTGAGACAGTCTCCTGGACATAATCTGACAGCAGGGAGCAGCAAGTCCTTTTCAAAACCAACGAAGCAAGAAAATGCTGCTGACTAAGCTACTGTGAGAGATATGGGGGAGACAGATAAAAAGGTGGAGGAGGACTGATGAAACCACACCTTAACCTCACACCTAACATTCTCGTAAAAGAAAGTAACATATTTTCAAGGCCATCACTTTATGACAACTCTACCTTAACTAATCCTCATTAAAAAACAGACACTTGTCTGCAGTCAGCTGCCTTCTTACCCCATGGCTGCAGGGTTTTTGCACATGGTGCTATGCAGCTTTGGATTACAATGGCCTCTGGTAGCCTTGAAAAACAAGACGGCATTTTTACAAATTTGTCTCAGTTGACGTTCTTCATCTACTGGGGATACATCTTTTCAGTAAAAGGCCATTGCCTGGGACACAGAAATGCTGAAACGCTTGCATGCTTCTATTAAAAAAAAAAACAACACACCAACATCCACATACAAAACAAACAAACACATTCCTAGTCTTCATGAGATCATCATCAGCTAGCATCTCAGGACCACTTCCATGTAAAATTATGGCTTCACAGGAACAGCGAGGATGAAGAGGACCATGCTGGGATGCATTTTGTCCAACCTGTACCTAAAAGTGGTGAAAAGATGTAATAATGGGCCTACATGCTCTCTTAAATAAGTAACAGTCCCCATCTTAAATAACAAGAATGTCTGAAGCCCACCCATGGTTGTACTGGAGAAAGTTCCCACTCAGGATTTGGGTTTAGTTTGCTCTTAATGATTTTTGTTCTTTATGCCAACCTCCCACTCTGTTTGTCCATATGCACATGCACACAGAGCAGTTTCTCACTGAAATGCAAAACCCTCAGTGTCGATTCATCTCTCCAGTTAATCCATTGACACCAAAATTGACGCCAAGAGACTGAAGTTATTACTGGGAAGGGCTGGCAGAGAGGGGCTCCTTTGGGAAGCCGGAGCACTGGATTTGAATTCCCTGTCCCTCATCATTTTCCCACATTGTCTGCTAATCCAAACTGCATGTAAACAAAGGGGATTTCATTTGCAAAACTGAAGCTGTAGATTAACTTTATTTATGGCATTTCTTGGTGAAACAGAGGCTTTTTTCTCCCATCACATCACGACAGAGAGGGAGTCATTAGATAAATGCTATAAAGCACCAGAAATCACCTATTTATTCTTATTCAGATGTGCTGCCACTGTCACACAGAGCAATTTCATGACTAAGTTAGTACACCTTGATGTTTCTAACCATGATATCACACTGAAGGACGTTCTTAAGACGTTCCTTCTTAAGAAAGAATGTCTTGGTTATTTCAAGGAGTAAAAGCCAGAACAGAGCAAGTGGGTTTTCACAACGTGGAATCGTTATCTATAAAAAAAATTTCCTCTGCTGTACCAAAGGCAGATGTCCTGCAGCAGCACTGATAGCAAGGTACAGAAAACCAAATCTAAACTTTTGATGAAATAATGACAATACTTTTCCATGTATTTAGGATCAAATAAACAGCTGAGAAAACGTAATAAAGGAATGAAGAAAAAGCCCAAGCAAAGATGCCACAAACCACCTCTGGGATTAAAGCAAGTATGTGTAATGGGAGCCCGAAGGGTAATGTATTCAGAAAGCTGTAAGTGCCTGAAAATGAAGGCTTAGAATGAAAGCACCTCTTCAGCCATAACTCTAGTGTCAGCCTAGTGTTAACGTAAAGCCATAATCCTTTTTTCCTATTTTCCAACTATTATCCAAGCACTAAGTGGCAGTTAAGATGTAACAAAGAAAGAATTTTCGGTGCGCTGGAAATCTTTTTTGTTGCCTCATTTCATATATATAGGAACATTAAGAACAAAATTACAATTCTGTCATTGTGTTTAACTGATCTTTGGATTACTGCTGCTGTGACAACCTTTTAAGGAGAGACTGTGAAATGAAATGATACTTCAGCACTCTAACAGACTGAAAGTGTCTTTTTTTTTTTCTTTCTTTTTTAGAACCAGAATTTAATATCAGAAAGGTTAAAGACCAGATCTATGATAAAAGTGTGAGAGAAGCATATTTGTTAACACACACATGAAGGGATCCTGCTTCAGACCTTTCTCATCTTTTGAGGGCTGACAGACAAAATGTAGCTGCCCGGAGTAAAAATATGCCTTTGCTTTACAAATCTTGTTAATGATAATAGACAAAATATTCTACTTTTGCTTAACTGTTTTGCTGAAGAAAAATATTGCAACAGGAAAAGCATGCTCACCATCCAAAGGTTCTAACGCGTTTAACACTTTGTTCTCTTTAGAAAGTATAGAGGCAAGTGATAAATATATTTGTCAATAAAAAATTGTATGTTGAGGTACCTTAATTTAAGTAACATTTGGTCGCTGCTTGCATGAGACAAATGGAGAGGACCAGATGGGAAAAATAGAAATGCCAGTCCTAGCAGAGTATGAAGTTGGATTTATGTAAAGGTTTGTAAATCAAAATAAACCATAGGCTGCATGTTCAAATAAGTAGCTATTAATTGCTGTTGGGGCTAATTTCTTACCAAGTTGCTATGCTCAGGCTGTTTCACCTTGAATAACTGGAAGATGAGACGCAGCTCAGCTCCACTCTACCCTTTCTTCATCCTCTCCTTCTTCTCACACATTGACATATGCTGAAGATGATTTTCCTGATTCAAAAGGGCTCTGCCCACTGAGTCGTTTTCATGAAAACATTTTCATTTTTCCAGCTATTATACAAACATCTTATTAACAAAAAAAAACATCTATTTTCTTTTCCAATAATTACTAGGCTTTCCATCCAGTATTTAAGAACCTATTGTGCAAGAACTAATATTTAATGCCACTTCTCTTTGTTTTTCAAGGGACAAGTCAGCTCATTCTCTTCTCCATCCTGCTCCCTACAAGTGCGTAGATGACTAACGCAGGAGACATCTTTCAGCATAGGAGGATACCTTCAGCCACTCTTTATTGCAGCCTGGAGGACAAAACCGCCCAGTTCTTGTTTAACGAATAGCAGTAAAATGAAGTGATGCTCAGGACCCAAACTGTTCTCATCTCAAACTTTTCTGTACTCCCTACTCTGAGATGATGAGACAGTAAAGTACTTTGCTCACCCACAAGGCAAGCGCTCAAACTGCAGTCACGCACGCCTGCATTTGGCATTGTCGTCTGGTTCCTCAATTTCACACTTTGCTAGAAGCACACAGCAGCAGCACATTTCAATTACTCACATCTAAAACACTCATCAATACTGATGAGTCTGAACTGCAACATTTGTTGACACAGAGGCTGCATCCTTTCAAAATTTTTAATGCAGCTTGGTTACTGTTATTTTGAACACCGCTTCTGCATCCTGAAGAGACATATAAAAGGAGGAATATGGCAACTGACACATCATTTATTACAAAGAACAGAAGTGGTAGCTTCTCTCAGCAAAGAAACATGTTTTCCTTTAAACTTAGAAGAAATGCATCCCCTGCTGCCATAAGTAATGACAGTATTTTAAAAGGCTGCTTTCTAAATGGTTGCTCTATTTATTCATACCCACAGAAATTACATTTGCCACGCGCACGAATGGATTAACAGCCATAAATTGCAAGCAACTCAGTAAACTTTAATTCTGCAGAGCGAGCTCATTTTTTGGCCTGTCAACTCTGTTAGCATCACACACACTGCCTGAGAAAATGTGAGATCATCTGAGGGAGCGCAGTCATAGAAGGTA